AACAGAAACTAATGCAGCCAAGTACAGTTAAATCATTAGCCTTTTTTTTTTTCCCTCCAAACAGGAGAAACCTGTGGGCATGTGTAAGCAGATAGAAAGGAACCAAAGAAAAGGAGAGAATAAAGATACTGAAGGGAAAGTACTGGAGGTCAGAGGAGAATGGGCACATAGACAGAAAGAAATATGGAAAGGGTGATAGTTTTGTCCAATTCAGAAGAAAGGCAGAAAGTACCGGCATAGAAGCAAATATTTAGATTAGTAAAGGACTGTCACATGCAGCAGTGACTATAATTCCAATTTTGGCATTCCACTAGTCAGTTACACAGTGTTAAAGTAATGAAACACAGTGTTTTCCTTACTACAAATACCACCCTTTCAGTATTTTAATTTGGGTCTGAAACTCAGATCATTTAATTTGATCTGAAACTCAAATTATTTACATCCTGATAGCAGTCAACAACTTATAATTAGAAAACAAAACCAAAAAACTTACTGAATAAAACTCTTTAAAGTTAAAATTAGTTCCAAATTGAAAAATTGTTAAAAAGCTCCCTCATTTAGAGAGTATCCTTTTATTCTTTCATTTTCTTCAAGAGATGAAAATAACAATTAACGATGAAAAAATAATTCCTATTCTAGTTCCAGGGCTCAAATGAACACATACATGACTGTAATGAAACTGATACAGATACCTGCATCAGAATCATCTACACATGATGAACTAGAGAAGATGAAGATGCTTTCTTTGGAACAAAATCCAGAGCCTGCTACCAAGAAAAAGACTGATGTCCCTGCAAAAACAAAGTCCCTCAACAAAAGTTACCACCCAAGAGGTGATATTATTTGAAGATAAAGTCACAGGAAAACGCTTAGAATTCTTAGAACTGTATCCTTGCCATTACTTTATTGTATGAAGTCAGAAAAACCTTTAAGAAATTGGAAAAATGTGCACAAAAATACACGTGTAACTTAAACAATGACACCGTAGATAAGCTTGGTTTTAAAAGATTGCATTAAAATAAAGAAACAGGGCTTCCCTGGTGGCGCAGTGGTTGAGTGTCCGCCTGCCGATGCAGGGAACACGGGTTCATGCCCCAGTCCGGAAAGATCCCACATGCCGCGAAGCAGCTGGGCCTGTGAGCCATGGCCGCTGAGCCTGCGCCTCCAGAGCCTGTGCTCCGCAGCGGGAGAGGCCACAACAGTGAGAGGCCCGCGTACAGAAGAAAAAAAAAAAAAAAAGAAAGAAAATTATATTTTATTTTAAATTTTCATTATCACCTTTTTATTTGTGAATGTTTAACTTTTTTCCATAAATTTATTTTATTTATTTATTTTTGGCTGGGTTGGGTCTTCATTGCTGTGTGTGGGCTTCCTCTAGTTGTGGTGAGCAGGGGCTACCCTTCCTTGCAGTGTGCGGGCTTCTCATTGTGGAGCACGGGCTCTAGGTGCAACGGCTTCAGTAGTTGTGGCACACGGGCTCAGTAGATGTGGCTCATGGGCTCTAGGGACGTGGCTTCGGCAGTGTGGCTCACGGGCTCTAGAGCACAGGCTCAGTAGTTGTGGCGCACGGGCTTAGCTGCTCCACGGCATGTGGGATCTTCCCAGACCAGGGCTCGAACCTGTGTCCCCTGCATTGGCAGGCGGATTCTTAACCACTTTCCACCAGGGAAGCCCCAGCTTGTTGTTTTTTAAATAATATTTTTTATGAATGTTACTGTTAATTCATATTAGAATAATATATTTAACAATTACATTTTTCTAAATACATTTTTATTTTAATGAATCTTTAAACAGCTTTGTTTTTATGAATGTTACTGTTTCATAATGTATTTATAAATTTTGACATTTGAAATGTATTAAGTGTATTTAATTTCACTGATTTTTTTTTTTAATGAATTGCTTTGATAGCAGAACACCAACAAATAAATGCAGTAACATCATGATCGTTTCATTCTGACACAGCAATCATGAGTAAGACAAGGGTCTTCATACCCCTGGCATCAGTCTTAGCTGTAAGGAGGCTAGAATTGGGAGTTTGGACTGGATGGAGCAGGACTGCAACTTAATGAAAATGGAAGAAAGTTTAAAATATTGTGTGGAAGGCCTTGGTGTTAAAAGATAATAGACAAAAGAAATGCCAAGAAACAGTAAAGCAGAAATACAGTAAGGAGAATGTGTACTGGGTTGAGTGATAGGCTTCTGCGGCTTTATCAACAGTGCTTCACAACCAGAGCAGTTCTTCACTGGCCCTTCCAGAATATGCAGCAAATTATAAATTACCTCTGTTAAATCTAGCTGATTTCCCCCAACTAAAGGGACTTAATGCTTCTTGTACTACATACTCTGCCCAAGGAAGGAATAAGAAAAAAACTGAGTATGTCACTAGAAGTAAACTGCATAAATGAAAGGATCTCAGTAATCTTGCTTTAAAGCACCCTATAAGATACAACTACAGGGTTTCCCTGGTGGCGCAGTGGTTGAGTGTCTGCCTGCCGATGCAGGGGACACGGGTTCATGCCCCAGTCCGGAAAGATCCCACATGCCGCGAAGCAGCTGGGCCCGTGAGCCATGGCCGCTGAGCCTGCGCGTCCGGAGCCTGTGCTCCGCAGCGGGAGAGGCCACAACAGTGAGAAGCCCGTGTACTGCA